CTTGACCAGTTTATCTACGTAACTCGAAGTGCTTATAGATGACAATGAGTGGTACAATTTCTCGATGGTACTGTGGGAGTGTATCCCCTCCTTACTTTCATATTAACATTAGGCATACTGACTTGGACGTCGCTGTAGTTGGTGTACACCTCGGAGGTGGCTTGCAACCACTCTTATTTAATCCCGGCAGGAGACGATCCTTCTACTGAAGAAAGCCAGAAGGCAAACCGAGAGGAATGCAAGCATAGTCCATCTGAGCAATTGATCAGATAAAAGCAACATAAACTTTTGCTACTGAGTCTTGGTTGGCGCAGTGAAGAGGTTTTGATTGCTTTTTGCTAAATCACTCAACTTCACATCGTACAATTTAAATTATAAAAAGATGCGTGGTGAATAAATACTCCTGATTCATACTCGATTTTCATTTCTTTTCTACCTTCACAGAACTCTGTATACACGAACTTATATAAAAAAATACACAACGTGGGAACATGTTTGAGAGGTGTCGAATTGAATCTGGATACTTTCGAACATGATGAATACTAGACGATCACATGAAATATGGTTATATAGTTCCATATTTAGCTAACACCCGGGTGGGTTCGGTTACACCATCAGTCGCATGTCAATCTGCCAAAAATTGAAGTGCCCAAATTTGGTGGGGATTTTGAGGTCTTTCAATGATATTTAGAATTGTTCAACGCTCTCGTTCATTCTAATACATCATTAACTGAAATTGAGCAATTCAATTATTCAGTCTCGTCGTTACAGGGTGCTCCTTAATCGCTTGTTCGCACATAACCTCTGATTTCTGATAATTATGAAATCGCATACCATACTTCAGAAGAACGATACGCACACACACGTTTACGCGCTCAGGCTCATTGGCTCGAGCTTGAAAATTCTGCCAAAGTTCTTTCTGATAATACCATCGCCCTTCGCAAACTATTAGATTCGTTTTCAGAAAACTTGGCCGCGCTCAACCAAATGAAATTTCCCACCGAACATTGGGACTTTTTACTTGTTATGATGCTTTCGAAACGTCTTGATCATACTATTGTAACCCGCTCCGAGCTAGAACATAATTCCTCGGAAATTCCAACTTATAAACATCTTGTTGATTTTTTGAACAAGCATTGCGCCGCACTTGAAACAATTAATTTTTTGCTATCTTCGTTCCATGTAAAACGCGCTCCTATCATTAAATCGCCTGCTCCTGCACCTTCGCCAAATCGCTCTTCTAGACCTGTTTGGAGAGGCTTGGGATTTGTATGGTGTCAATGGTTTTCGGGTCCAAAATTATGTTTCTAAAAATCCAATTGTGAATTGATTGATGTGTTGGCTTTTTTGGAACTTCTCTGAAGTTGACACAGAATGTTTTTATTCTTTTGGCTGGCATTGTTGATGTTTTTATGGTGTCGATAAAATAACACAAAAAACTTTCGAGATAAGTACAGGTTTATGCACTGTAAAAACTGGGTTCTCACGCACAGGTGTTGCCTGCCTAGTGGCTAGGCATAGACTGCCATCGAATTATATTACCTACACACATAAGCCCTCCTGTGTAATTTCGATAAAGGATGCCTACTTATGATGAAAAAGTTGAAAACGAAATTTTATTTTGTTATTGGGAGATATAGAGAAATGATTAGTTTAGTGGTGGCTGGTGGCCAAACCGCAGGGAACGAAATGAAGTCACTTTCAGCAAATATATCTATGTAATGAAATATTCCTTCTGCAAACTTATTAATCAATAATAATTTTCTAGCGTTGAAAATTGCATTTGTTATGTTATGTAATTGTTGACTGTTGACGAATTTTCCTAACTTTCAACAGAGTCTTTATATAGTGAAGTAGGTACAGGTATACATCTTCTAGGGCTATACCTATATAAAATGATCATTTCGACTGGATGGACAAATAATAATCGTCGATTTACTCATTATATCATTCCCGTTCTTTTACATTCTTATTTACCTATGTACCTACGTATTCGATAGTGTAGTAGTCTATAATTAATGGGCGTACAATGGGTATATTTTATTCAATCAACAATGATAATCATAATGACATCCTTCGAACACTTCACGTCTCCCTGGACATATCTCGTGTACAGGGTATTCATCAAGCTCTAACAATAACTAACAATCAGTGAATGACTATTCTATATCTTATACAATAGTGACTTGCTGATAGGTAAATAAACCCATGGAGTCAAATCATATTTTTATGAGAAATTTAATACTAACTCAAGTGAATCACAGAAACTCGTCTAACTTATCGGAGAATCAGTTATAATATGATTTTTATAAGTATTTATTGATAGTACCTACTCATGAATCATTCGTAGGTACTTACTCAACATATTGAACAAGAAACGAAATAGCTCAGTTAGTATGATCCTGACTTCATCGTAATCTAAAGGTCGCAGGTTCGGAGCGTTGCGACAGGTTACATTTTTTTTTTCATGTCAGGTGTGATGGCATACAGGCATTGGTCCGGCCACCGGCCACTGTGTTCAATTTATGCCGACCCAGCGTTGTTTGCTATTGTTTTGCCGTAACGGTACCTTCTGGTAAGCCAACCAAAATTGATTGCAGCGATATATTTTCAAATTCAGCTCCCTATGAAGATTCCAGAAAGTGCATAACGATACCCTAATGCTGATAAGTCGTAACCCACAAAAAATTGAAAAATAGTATTTTTTCACCAAAGGAAAGTACACATGCATTTCTATTATACTGTTAAATTCTCATAACCCAAATAAAATGATAAATCGGTGATTCCCGCGATTTCCAACATGTCTGAACCCACGTACGGCATTTATATCACGTCTAACTAGTCGTATCCCACAGTGCAGTTCAAACAAGCAAAGCGTGTTGATAGCAGCTGACTAGTTTGACATGGTGCTCTGCATTAGTGAAACGAGAAAATAGGTAGGTGATATTTTCTTTACCTCGGCGTCAAAGAAGCATCTTGTATTCGTATTTTAATATAAAATACCAAAAACCTTTTTTTTTATACAATAATATGCCTGTTGGAACCAAGTTGTGGTTTACGATGTATTCGAACAAACTTATTTATTTTGTGGGTTACGTCCGTTTTCTAGTTCTCATAATATTATTCGTTTTTCGTGCCTCCTGTAAAATTTCATTGAGTTGGGTTACGACATGTCAGCATTAGGGTATCGATAATCAACATATGAGTGATTTTTCATTCGTAAAAATTGTCGCGGACGTCATAACACATACATTGATCACCCTGTATTCTCAATATATGTTTCCTTGTGAATGTAGATAATTGAAATTAATAATCGACCTACTTCAGGGCATTCCTCAGAATTGAGTAGTTCAGCTAAAAATGACTGCATTCACTACGTTACGAAAGCACTGTATACAGTGTTTTCTAAAAGTTACGAAACTTCAGAGAGTGATTTGTTTGAGCAGAAAATTCAATGAAAATTTGTCCGGGGTTGGTTTGTTTTTAAGATACAGGGCATTTAAGTTTGGAAATACCATATTTCTGAAATAGTTACCTATCCTGAATCTCCTTGAACCGATTCTGGTAAAATTTGATACAGTTAATTGAAGTAAGGTGCTCATTCAGCTCTTACTAGATTGGAAAATCACTAGGTCCAGTAACGTCTCAATGAGCACCACAGCTATACGACACTGACTTTTCTCTAGTTTATTTCCTGAGATTGAGCCACTAGAAATAGAACTTTTTGGTGTCTTGTATCTTCTTCAGATCTAGCATCGTCCTCGACAAAAAAAAATCGAAGCCACTATATTCCATATCATGACCCAGACAACCAGATGACTTTTCAGTGACGTCTTTTTACATCAGTTGAATGACCAAGGTGATGTAAGGAGTTGACGTCGTATGACGTGATAAATAACGTAAATTAGTCATAGCCCAATGATGTCATATCACTTACGTTCATTTACGTCAGTCACTCACCTAACAGTGACGTAGAAATGACGTCGAAATTAGGTGATAAAACGGAAACATAGTTTGATGAACAACAGTGACCTCTGATGATATCTAATATTATTTATTCATCACTGCAACGTCATAAAAGTTACGTTCCCAATATGATCATTTGAATATATACAAATATGATTACTTCCCTTCGTTCCACCTCCACTCCTATTCAAGGTGGGCCACCAGTAACGCCTATAACTGCTTGACCCCAAGTATGATGGATTGTTGAAATCAGCTCACCAGGAAGAATCTCAATATGAAAAAAGTTCAACTTCAGTGTTTTGTGATTTTTGGGGACATCCTGTATGTTTCAAAATAATTTCAAATGGTAGCCTATGTTGACATGCATCTTCCTAGAGAGGAAGAATTCCAAGAAGATAAGTGGTTAGCCTTCTAGAGACCGAGGCGTTACTGGTGGCCCACCCTGTATATAGATGGTGTCTCAAACCCGATGTCCTATTACACATTCCTGGAAAACGGAACATTTCGAAAATTCAATGTCTTGGTTAATCAGTTCTGCTCAATCAATCTGAAAGTATTTTCAGCGCTGCGGCGTTGCCGCATCTGTCAAAGAGTGGCAACAACTTTGTTATCTCGAATTCAACACCCTGTATGGTTATGTTCTAGTCCTATATCGTTATACTTCGTACATCAGGTTAGACCTGGGATGGCCTGGGGTTGATATTAATTTCACAATTCAATTATAATCCTATGGTTATTCAACAAGTATGTCCTGGGGTCATAGGAAGTTGTGCCATCTGGATATCATATACGATATCCGTGGCAGATTTCAGGATATCTCATGGTTATCAGGAATACCCAGAATCTATATAACCATAGGATGGCCCATGGATAACATTTTGCTGATTGAGTACATACTATAAAATTCTGCAAAAATATTCACGTACACATTCCAATCTCGATTTATTCTAGGAATATTCTGATTAATTAGTGACATGTATAGTCTGATGAATCAGACAATAATATATTGATGTTACCTTCATTATTCATAACAGAATTCGCAATTCCAATGGTACACCAACAACAGAAGCAATTCCTATGTTGAAAATGGCATACTGCACATTAGACCGACTTTTCTGGCTGACGAAAGAGGAGAAAATTATCTGTATTCCGCTACGTTGGACATCAATGGAGGATCACCAGCTGATGAGTAAGAATCTTTTGTAATAATTTCGATAATATAATCTGTCTATTCCTGATCACAATTTCACCACTTCAATTCAACACAAAAACCAACCTACCGAAGACTCATGTAAGTACCTGATGCCTTTACACTATTTGAATGATGTTTTCCTGGAAAGTTGAATAATTCGCAGAAGTGGACTATTTGCATAACCTCCTGAATTTCCAAACATATATACAAGGTGATTCTAAAATAGGTGGTCAAAATCTGGGAGCATATAGAGTGGGTGAAATAGTTACGAAAACCTCCGTAACATTTTTTTCTGAAGTGACCCCCAAGAAAGATACAGCCCCTCAAAGGGGGGCCTCGGAGAATGACTTTGTATTATTATCTCCAACACCTTGTATAATGGAAATCTGAAATTTTGTCCATCCACTAACTATTCAGTGCCGGTTCGGATGGAGTTGAAATCAACTCAAAATTAAATACAGGGGTGTGTCAAAATAGGGAGGTAGGGGGTAAAAATAACTCCAACTTTTTTGTTCATCGCAATTTCAGTTTTTTGATATGAAATTATGAAATCTCAGGGCTATTTACATAGGAAAGGTGCTCCTGTTGCATCTCGATAAAATGAACTATTTGCTAATAGCATTTATTTTTTCAAGATTTCATTTAAATTGCGATTTTGGTATGTACTTAAGTTCAATTATCTAGGTCAAATCTCGCAATTGAATTTTCATCTACTTCTAATCGTCTGATCAACTTAGAATCTGGCAGATGACAGTTGACAATGCCTTATGGCGGCTCCAATGTGGCTGACCAGATTTGTGATTATGGTTCGATTCGATTCAGAATTGGTATGTGAGGGTTTTTGGGGTTGGAAATTTAGAATTCGTTGTCGGAATTCATGAATTAAACAATTTGAATGAAATCTTGGGAAAATAAATTTTATTCGCTTATGGTTCATTTTATCGAGATTCAACAGGAGCTCCTTTTCTATGTTAATAGTCTTGATATTTCATAATGTCATGTGAAAAAACTGAAATTGCGATGATCAAAAAAGTTGGGGTTATTTTTACCCCCTACATCCCTACCTTGTATAAAACCTCGTGATTCCTTTAAATGAAGGCGGCAAAAGATTTTATGTATACCTACCTACCGAAGAAGATTGGAATAGATGGAATATATATGAAAAATTTCAGAAGGCTCTTCGGAATTATGACAGGAGACAAAATTATTTAGCAACTTAACAGTAAGACGTATGAAATTAACCTGTTTGAGAAATGAGAGTTTTCATTTCGAAAATCGATGAACATATGATCAAGTATTGAATATCATCTTATTCATGTTTAACGTGAAAGTTGCAATACCTATTCCTTTGAACAATTCTTAATATTTAATTAAAGTCGTTTCAGAATTGAACCAGCTGCCGTCGTGATATGTGAATACAGCATTCAGAATTGCACAATTCACGAATATTTTCAGAAATTATCTCTCCCTATCGAAAACTCCATTTCCACAATGAAATCCGAACATTGTTATCATTATAATATGACATTCGACCTTCTGCATTTTTGTATAATTAGTGTGGAAATGTGTAAAACAATTGTCATAACCACAAATCTTCAAGAATTTCTTTCTTTCTGGGAAGTTGCAAATATCAGCCTGACTTCAATTTGATAACAATGAAACACACCTTTTTTATGAAAAATTCGATTAATCATCGAAAATGAGACCCGCTTATTCGAATACCGATATGATTCAATGTTTCCGTGAGATAATGTTTTCAATGCTGGGTTCTATTGGAAGTGTTGAAAATGGAAAATATTTGTTTCAATAGTTTCGAACATATTGTATAATATACCAGGTGTAACATGATCATGGTACACCCCCTATTTCTCCTTTATTTTCGGAGATAAGTGATTGTGATTTGGAATGACCAATTAACTTGATAAACGTCATGTTTCCACATAAATAAGTTTCATTTGTCACTTCCGGTTTCACCGAAAATGATGATAACTCCTGATTTTCAAACGCAATACCCTATATATCATTGCATTTTCAAATTCTGCATTATTTTCTGAATCCAACGATACCTTATAAGTGACATTTCAAACTTCATTATCGATTTTGATTTAATTTTTGATTTTTCATTTGAGTGTGCCATGACTATTCTGATTTAGTCTGATGCACTCATATCGACATAAGTGATGATGAAAAAAATTGAATCTTGTCAAATACGTCAAATTTCTTGATTTATCACCAAATTGAGTTGGAGAAAATAGTTTGGTGTACCATGATCCTGTTACACCCGGTATATATCAAGTTGACAGAATTATAATTTATTATGAGAATATCGATTTGAAAGGAGATTGTTTTTGTTCTAAAATTGTTCTATCCGTCATTCGGTTGCCCCTGCAACCCTCAAAAGTCTTCGAGAGTGTTGTGCGAGCAAGGAATGACGGGGGCCTTACCTTTTAACGTGTGATCCCAAACACTTTCTTGGGCCATCAGAAAAATTTCTGCAGTCGACGGGACTCGAACCCACGACCGGCAAGCGAATGCGGATTAGAATATGGACACTCTGTCCGCATGGCTACCTGGCCACCCAGATTAGACATCTTCTTTCTATCAGAGCATCCTCAGTCACCGGGTAGGTGTCCTTGTAGAAGTTTTTATCATTTGGCGACCGTGACAGGACAGTGATCAGTGCTAAAATATGGAGAAGGTGAAAAAGGCTCTCTTTCGATCGTGTATATATGATTCACCTCTGATGATGCTCACGAATGATGAGTTGGATACTGTGGAAGTTTAAGGTAATCTTCGACTATTCGAGCAAAAGTTTGATACTGTCAGCAACCTTAGTAGACAGTTGATAGATAACATATTATCATCTGAAGATATTGACGACTCGCTCAATGTTGAGATTTCCTTAGTGGATGGGTATACAGCACGTTATCACAAACTGAAAATTAGAATGGAAGGTTTTCTGCACAAGGAATCTGATGATGTCCACAGCATTCGTTCTCAGTGTTTCAGTCAGAGTAAATCAAGACGTAAGCTGAAGTTACTATATACTAGAATTTAAGAAACTTAGTGGTGATATAAAAGATTGGCTTACTTTCTGGAGCCAATTCATGAGAGACAAGTATCAATACTTATCAGGCAACAATTCCAAATTCACGAGCTCATCAGTTAGTGGAGAGTTATCCACCGAGTAAAGAGAATTATCCCAAGGTGATAGATAGTCTTCAAAGCAGATTCGGCAGAAAGGACCTTCTTGTTGTACGATGTTCGAGAGATACTCAAGTTGGTATTGAATAATCTGTCCAGTAAGAATAATTTGAACTGTCTTTATGATAAGTTGGAAACCCAATTGCGATCATTGGAGACTCTAGATGTTACATCGGAGACTTGCGCGGCCATGTTGTTCCCGTTAGTTGAATCTTGCCTTCCTGAGGAATTGATACGAATTTGTGAACACGTTTAGACAGTATCACGGGATTCCTCAAGAAAGAAGTAGAAAACGAAGAACGAATTTCGCTAGCAGTTTTGGGTTTTGATTTGCAAAACAAAACAAGAAAGAAGATAGAACCTATCAATCGACCTATGCTGCCGACTGCATCTGGATTGATGAATAATAACAATGATTCTGTTCGGGAACAATATAGCTTTTGGGGAACATTTTCCCATGGAAGTGAAGCTTACATTGAAGCAGGAAAGTGGCTTTTGTCAGAACGGGTAAAGAAATTGGTAGAGAAAGGCTGTTGTCATCTATGCCTAAAACATGGTCAAATCGCTTGGCGATGTCGAGTTAAATTGGCATGTACCGTGTGTAAAGGTAGATATACTGATCTTATGTGTCCAAAATCAGACGAAGCAGCAGCTATACCTTCTTCCATGCAACCTATTACTGTGGAACATTCGTTATCAAATAATACTTATACCCAAGTTTTTCTCCAAACTTTACTTGTTCGAATAAATGGGAACAATGGATCACGAATTGTTGGAGTGATATTCGATACTGGCTCACGAAGGTCGTACGTTACAAGATCTGTCGCAGATGATATGAGATATGAACCAATTGATGAAGATATTATGGTGGTATTTGGTGGTTCCAAGACCGATGCTGTCCGTCATTTCTGCTATCGAATTCATTTTAGCAGTATACAGGATGGTTATATTTATATTTTAGATCAACCAATCCTCTGTAATAAAACTGCCGTTAAAAAAGGCATTTGGATGGAAGAAATCCGTTCCCTGAAAATTGAGATAACAGATACGACAGACGGTCCGATAGATGTTCTGATCGGTGCTGATATAGCTGGAAAATTACTTACTGGAAAAAGATTCGAGTTAGATTGTGGTCTAGTAGCTCTTCAGACCCTATTAGGATGGTCCCTTATGGGTAAAGTCAAGAACCCTAAATGTGAGAGCTCAACTTCGTCGATGTTGGTTGTATCTCCCATGCTGAGTTGAAATGAAGTTATATCTGACATGTGGGGAGCCTCGATGTTCTCGGAATTACTGATCTAATAGAGCGAAACTCAAGGCAAGATATGGAGAAAAAGGTCCTAAACCAATTTTTAGAAACTGTTCGTAGACAAGGAGACGGTAGATATGAAGTCCACTTGCCCTGGATAGAAGGACACCCCCCTCTACCTAGCAATCTGTCTCTGGCATCAAGACGGCTAGATGGTCTTTTGAAGAAATTCCGCTCAGACGGATATTTGGCTGATTATAGTTTTCACAGAATGGTCGAAAGAGAATATCATCGAAGAAGTTCTTAAAACTGATTTAGACTGTGTAGGACATAATCTTCCACATCGACACGTTATCGAAGCTAACAGTGCTACAACGAAGATCAGACCAGTGTTCGATGCGTCTGCCAGAGAGAAAAACAGTCCTAGTCTGAATCAGTGTCTTGAGAAAGGGATAAATTTCATTGAATTGATTTCCTCCATTCTTATGGAATTTCCAATGGAAGAGATTGGAGTAATTTCAGATAATAAGAAGGCTTTTCTGCA